TTAAGTGGCAGTTTGATACATTGTTGTTACATGACCACACACACAAACATATTTATATCAAGAAAGAGGTGTTAAAATAACAGCTGATGTAGTATGCGATGTGAGTACTGTTTGCATACTGTGCTCAGTATATAATGCAGCGTTAGTGAGAGTATGATGGCAGAATGAACACAGCGCATGTATTATTTCATACTAATGACTCATAAATCTCTGGATCCAGGCGCATGTGTGTTGAGCTCTGGGTATCTCATCTGTGGTTCTGTTTGAAGAAACACTAATCCAAACTCCTGGAGTTTCTCTCTGATTTACGCTTGTTTCCATCTAAGTTTAAACTGGAGGTAATATTAATGGAGGTAGACGGCTGTGTCTGGCCTGATTCCTCATTACTTGAAGCTCTTTCTCTCTGTGTGTTTGTCCAGCGTTAGTGCGCTGAGATGTTTGTGGCCTCACGTGTTCTGTGCAGAAGGTTGATGACTCCTCCTGACCTCTTTACTAACTTTCTCCTCCTGTTTCTACCTTTGTTCTCTGTTTTCTTTGCCTTACTGGGAAGTATTTTATTGTGATTCAGGCTCAGTTGTTTTGCATTGTATTTGGATATGTAAAGAAGTGATTCACTGAAAAATGACAATTTGCTGAAAATTTAGGTCGCTTGCTCACCAATAGATGCTCTGCAGTGAATGGGTGCCGTCAGAATGAGAGTCCAAACAGCTGATAAAAACATCACAATAATCCACAAGTAATCCACAGCACTCCAGTCCATCACTTAACTTCTTGAGGAGACAAAAGCTGCACATTTGTAAGAAACAAGTCCATCATTAAGACGTTTTAAATTTAAACCATCACTTCTGGCTAAAATATGGCTAACATCTGAATGTTGGATTTGTTTCTTACAAACACAGCTTTTGGCTTCACAAGATGTTAATTGATGGACTGGAGTATTTTCTTGTAAAACATTCCAATAATCTTTTAGAAAGTGAACATTAGTAATTCTAAGTGAACTACTGCTTTAGATACAGTATTCAGCTTTAATGGCTGAGATTGAATGCGACACAAACAATCTCTACTGCTGTGTCACATGTTTTATTTGCCGTTTGCACAAAGACAAACAAACTGAATCATTTATCAAAAGATTCTTTTGATTTCTCCCTCTCTTTCTGTTTACACTCATATGTGTTTGTGTGACTAGATGAGTGAGTTAGTATTTCATAAAATCTGTGTGGAGAGTTATTTCTAATTTTCGGTGATGCTATATTTTAGTAGCATTGATATATTACAGTTTTTGTTAATATTTTACATTTACATTTAGTCATGTAGCAGACGCTTTTATCCAAAGCGACTTACAAATGAGGACAATAAAAACAGTCAAAACTAACAAAAGAGCAACAATATATAAGTGCAAATGACAAGTCTCGGTTAGCCTAACGCAGTACACATAGCAAGGTGTATATATATATAAAAAAATAAAATATATTAAAAAAAAGAAGATAAATATAGATAAAGTAGAATTAAAATAGAATAGAAAGTGTTAGAGTTAGAGGGTCAAATAAAGGTGGAACAGATGTGTTTTTAGTCGTTTCTTGAAGATGGGTAAGGACTCAGCTGCTGGGATTGAGTTGGGCAGGTCATTCCACCAGGAGGGAACAGTTAATGAAAAAGTCAGTGAAAGTGATTTTGTGCCTCTTTGAGATGGCAGTTGATGAGCCTAACTGGATGGTGAAATTTTGATAAAGTGATGGGTTTGTTGAAACCACAAGCAGTTCTGTCTTAGCCAGGTTGAGTTGAAGGTGATGGTCCGTCATCCAACAAGAAATGTTAGACATGCTGAGATGCGAGCAGCTATCGTCGGATCATCAGGATGGAATGAGAGGTAGAGTTGAGTGTCATCAGCATAGCAGTGATATGAAAAGCCATGTTTCTGAATGACAGAACCTAGTGATGCCATGTAGACAGAGAAGAGAAGTGGTCCAAGAACTGATCCCTGAGGTACCCCAGTAGCTAGATGTTGTGACTTGGACACCTCATCTCTCCAATATACCTTGAAAGACCTATCTGAGAGGTAAGACTCAAACCACTGGCGTGCGGTTCCTGAGATGCCCTTTGCCAATAGGGTTGACAGGAGAATCTGGTGATTCACCATATCAAAAGCAGACAGATCCAGCAAAATAAGTATAGAAGATTTGGAAGACACTCTTACCAGTCTTAGGGCTTCAACAACTGAAAGCAAGGCAGTCTCGGTCGAATGTCCACTTCTGAAGCCAGATTGGTTTACTATCCAGGAATTTGAATTTCGAATTCAATTTTATTATATTTTCTTTTACAATTAGTCATTTTCGTGTGTTTTTATCATTTTTGATTAGCTTTTTTAATATGTCTATATAGGCTTTGTTCATTTTTATTTATTAATCTCAGTTTATTTTTGTTATTTTAGTACTTTTTTATTTTAATTTAGTTTTATTTGGTTTTAAGTACCAAATTATATTTTTTCTTTTTAGTTTTAGTGAATAATAATAACCCTGATGTGAGTCAATCATTGAAATGAAAGTAGTTAACATTGTTACATATTCATGCATAATATGATTTTTAAATCTGTTGCTCTAAGTGTTTTTTTTTTCTTTTTTTTCTTTAGATTTGAATCCTGCTGCGTTGGACTCATGGTCAGTGGTGTGCATTGTGAATCACAGAAGATCATATGAGGTATGTTGGGTTTTTGTGATTAAATGCAATTCATTACAGACGCAGTATATCAAGGATTTCATACTTTCTGTGGATTTCTCTAAAGAAATTTTCTGTGAACTGTAAATTTATTAATTGTACTAAGAAAACATACTGTGACTATCAGAACGTAAAATTTCTTTCCCAGTAAAACAAGTGCTAAACAAAACTGCGAAAAAGACTCATTCTGACTGAACATACGATGAACCTAACTTGACCTTTGACCCCAAGCAAACTGTACATACCGATACAGACGACATCCATGAAGCCGTACATCCCGTAACAGATCTGGAAGAGCAGGTCTTGCCGTTGCCACTTGGCTGAAGGGCTGAGAGACGACCACACCAACCACGAGATACTGGCGATGAGGAAGAGCGAACCCAAGATCGCCGCCGCTATCTGGACCTTCTCAATGACGGTGAGCGAAATCGCTTGCCACTTCATTAAAACAAAACAGATGGAGAGCAAGGGATTTCAGTGCTACTGCATTTCTCTGTTTCTACTATTGAAGATTAAAAGTCAAAAGATCCACTTCCATTTTTAAATGCTAGATGTAAATCATTTAAAAATTAAATGCTACATTTAAGTGATTCAAAAATTCCTTTTTTTAAATGCTACATTTAAATGATTCAAATGTTCTATGATTTGAAAACAAATAATGGCTATGAACTGATTTTTTTTTTTTTTTGATTCTCTAAAGAATCAGCTGCACAGTTAGTTAGGTTTGTAATGTATTAGTCAACAACATGATTCCTGACTTACTAAACCCCAGTGCCGGTGTAGTTACAGATACACATTTGGAGTTTTATTGTTTGTAATCTTCCTTATAAATGGCACTTCAGTTAAAAAATATAGTACGACCACTATTGATTTTGATTAGTGCACTACCATTCAAAAGTTTGGGGTCAGTAAATTAATTAATATCAAACCTTAATACCTTGATTTGATCAGAAGTGACAGTAAAGACATTTATACTGTAACAAAAGGTTTCTATTTCAAATAAATTCTACTCATCAAGGAATCCTGAAATGAAATATATTACCATTTCCACAAAAATATTACACAACACAACTATTTTCAACATTGATAATAATCAGAAATGTTTCTTGAGCAGCAAATCAGCATATTAGAATGATTTCTGAAGATCATGTGGCACTGAAGACTGGAGTAATGATGCTGAAAATACAGCTTTGATCACAGACATAAATTATATTTTAAAATACAATCAAATGTAAAATAATTTTTTCCGAATTGTAATAATATTTCACATTATTACTGTGTTTATTGTATTTTTGATCAAATAAATGTAGGCCTGGTGACCATAAGAGAAACACATTAAAACTTTTGAATGGTAGTATGTGCTTAGCACACATTAAAGTGATCTTCCTCAAAAGTAAAATAATTATTAATAGAATAATTAAGAATTCCAATCCACAATTAAATTCCTAATGTTGCATCTTGACATGGTTTTGAGGTGTTGTACCTGCAGCGGGTTCTTGGTGCTGATGGCGATCACCTGATACTTGTAGTAACAGAGTTCACAGGTCCACGAGCCTCTTTCACTGATCCACTTGATGAGACACGGTTGATGAGTGCTGCGAACGGAGCCACTGCAGCGACACGGGCTCAGCAGCTCAGCCTGAAACACACACACAGATACACACACAAGTTGGAGCTCATATTTGAGGAGGAAAAAGCACCTCAGATTTCTTCAGAGGCATATTTTAGCAAAAATATGCAATTTGGTGCAGATGCTGATATTTATATGACCAAAAGGTGATGAAATTCTGATGTTTGTAATGTAAAAAAAATAAGATCTTTACAACAGTATAACAGACTACTTAAAATGCATATACTGTATCAGTTGTCACTCTATATCTCCAATAACATGTCTTAGTAAGATGATATTTAAATGCTTAGGTTGATGATCAAAACAATGCAATGCAATACAATGATGACTGAGAGATGAAGAAATAAACCTTCTTCAAAAGCCTGATCGTATTTGATACTCATATTTGAACATGATTTTTCCAACAAATGAAGTATAGATAATCAAGTAAACTTATGTTGCTTCAATCCAGTAAGCGTTCATCTTTAAATATTACTATACATTACTAACAATATCAAAATTACTTTTGCAAGTCAGTAAAGATTTCACAAAAAGCAAAAAGACACGTGAAGCATGAGCTGAAGGTGGATGATTTACAATGATACTAAAAGGCGTTTTACTTGCTGAGAAGTTAAGCACGAAGGACAGAAGGCATGGAGTAGATTGTGTGCAGCAGCTTTCACAGCACAGTTTTGATCATGTTGATCATTTAGAGGCCTTAGAAATTCATGCATCAAATATGACAAAGTAGACTTTATAGGGTTAATTGTGGTGTTATTTTTTTCTTTTGTTTGCCGTGAACGTATTTTTAAAAAGCTTTTATTCTCTACACTTTTTCCAGTACCAAGCACTTATTGAATGTTTTATCTTGGTTTTTAGAAGCTGCAGTTGACAGTTCGGGCGTAATGAAAAATGAAGTGTGTGAATTGACTATTTCAGAACAAAGAATTTATCTTCTTCATGGACACTGTATGAATTTTAAAAAGAAAAAAGAACTAAAGTCAAACATTCATTCAGAGAGGCTTTTTTAAGTACACTATATACGGTAAACTGCTGCTTTCTGGATCATCAGGAGCTCTGCAAATCACAGTAAACTAACTTTTCTTTTTTTTAGAAATCTCTTTCTATTCACAGAATCCTGAAATAATGCAGTTTCCACAAAAATATGAAACAACAAGCACAACTGTTTTTAATACTGATGATGATAATAACATTTTGAAAAAGTAATAAGAAACCAAATCTTGGCACCAAATGTTGAAGCACAAAATTAGCATATTAGAAGTATATAATTTTTTGAAATAATTTAATGTGCTTTGCATTTTTTATTTAATTAATTTTAATTGAAATTTTAATTTATTTAATATATGACATAAATATATTAAATCATTCTCTTTTTTAAATTATTTTCTTTTGTTCTTCTCATTTATATTTTAATGTTATTGTTATGCAAATACTTGTATATTTGTGTATTATCATTAATCATTTTATTTATTTATTTAATTTATCTTCTGCATTTTGGGATAATGGACTGCTCGATCTTGTAGGTTTGCATTGCGCAACATCAGAAAGATCAGGCCCTTTCTAACGGAGCATGCTGCACAACTTCTTGTTCAGGCCCTTGTCATCTCTAGGCTGGACTACTGCAATGCTCTTCTGGCTGGACTTCCATCAAGCACAATCAAACCTTTACAAATGATTCAGAATGCAGCGGCACGACTGGTCTTCAACGAGCCCAAAAGAGCCCATGTTACACCTCTCTTTATCTCCTTGCACTGGCTACTGGTTGCAGCTCGCATCAAGTTCAAGACATTGATGCTTGCATATATATAACAGTCACAGACTCAGCACCCGCCTGCTTCCACTCACTACTACGAATCTACATCCCCTCCAGAAGTCAGAGATCCGCTAGTGAGCGACGCCTCATGGTACCATCACAGAGCGGCTCAAAATCCCTTTCCAGAACATTCTCGTTCACCGTTCCTGGCTGGTGGAACGATCTTCCCACCCCTATCCGGAATGCTGAATCTCTGACAATTTTCAAGTGACAGCTGAAAACTCATCTCTTTAAATGCTACTTGACTTCATCCTAAAAAAAACTGTCTTTCTCTTTATTTATTCCTTCTCTTTCTAGCTTGTACTTATTTGAACAATACCTAAAACTTGGTATTACAAGCAATTCCTGTATCTGTTTGCCTCTTTAAGAAGAATCGCTTTATTTATTCCCCAATTGTAAGTCGCTTTGGATAAAAGTGCCTGCAAAATGACTAAATGTAAATGTAATGGGAATTAATAGTTGGAAAATGGAAGTGGAATGGAATTTACTACCATAGTACTATTCAATCTCATTAGAAATGGACTGTTCTGCTCAATATTTATGTATGCTGTCTGTATGTATGCTTATTAGAATATTCTGGCGTTAGTTAAGCAAAACAACCTGGCTGAATCTGGTTTTTGTCATTAGGCAGCTCTGTGTTTTGGACCAGAGCCTCTCTAGTGTGTGTGTAGTGTAGTATATTTCCTCCTGGACTGTGTTGTAGTGAGTGTTGTGTGTGTAGATGACAGCGTTAATGGAATGCGGATGGATGTAGACGTGTCTGTGAGGCGTAACTGAGGAGCAGACACAGGAACAGGTGCGGCGCAGTGTGAGCGCTCACCTTCGAGCAAACACTCGAGAACTAACGCTAGCGTCACGCTGAGAGACATCCACACTCGCACACGCAACGTGCCCTCTCATCTCTCTCCAGTGTATAAACCGAGTGCGAGTAAAACGTTTCAAAACTGTTTCTCATGTCAAAACCCAGAACTGACGCATTATTGCTCAGAGTCTGCTCATTCAGAGCTCAGGATACATAATGGAGTGCTCAGTTATGTTTCATTTATCAACTTTAAAACTTAATTAGGAGAAATGCAAATCGACACAAGTTGACAAATATTTGTATTTCACAGAATTTTCAGAGAAACATCTGAGACAAAGTTGCTACTTGAATAAAACATGTCTGAGAACTCCATTGTGTCTCCTGAGCTGTAAAAGAGCAACTTCTAAGCACACAGCAAGCTTTAAATCTAATGAGAAAAGCTTGGACCTGGAAGATTTGATGAGAAATATTTGAAATCATATTGAGATCTCTGACTTTTGATTCCAGACTTTGGTATTGTGGCAAATCTGAGCACTGTTTGAGACAGTATTGAGATAACTGGGATCTTTTTTCCGCAGGAGAAACATCTGAGAAGCAGGAGACTCGTTTTAGTCTCCATTAATCTCATTGCTGTCGAGGAGAAACAAATGAGATCTCATTTGTGATTATTCTTTCCTCTGTGTCTTCAAATTGTATTGCTCTTTTAGAGCTCAAGAGACTTAATGGAGTTCTCAGACAAGTTTCAATAAAGTATTAACTTTATCTCAGAAATGTCTCATAAAATGAGTAAAAATAAGAATAGACAAATGAGCCAGTAGCTCTCACCGAATGAGGAAAGCAACACTTAATGAGAAATGTTTGAGGTTATATTGAGAGAGCTCCCTGTTGAAAAATCCAGCATATACTGGATAGGTATGTTTTGAAGCATGGCTGCTGGTTTGAGTTGGTTAAAGCAGGTCAAGTGCTGGTCATGTGCTGGTCCTAAGCAACAACTCCTGCTCAGGACCAGCACATGACCAGCTAAGGACCAGCTTTTTTCAAAAGCATATGCTGCTTTTTTCAACAGGGCTGAATTCTGTATCATTAAAGTATTAACATCATTACCCATAAAGTTGGGAAAAATAGCATATATAGCAGCTCAGATGATTTGATCTTTGGATACATTTATGAGAAATATTTGAGTTTAAATTGAAATCGCTGACTTTTGATGGCAGACTTTGTTTGAGACATTGTCGAGATCTCTGGAGGAATAACGTGAGATTTCAGTTTTTTCCTCAGGAGAAACACCCGAGAAGACCTAAAATTCTCCATTAATCTCATTGCTGTCTGGGACAAATAATCAAAATAGTCCAGAAATCTCATCCGTGCTTCTTGAGTGGAGCTCTCAGTAAAAGCCGCCTCGAGCTCAACTTAACGCGAGTATTATATAAGCACGACCCCGATGCTCCTTCAGCCAAGAGGAGCGCTACCTCCGTCACAGCGTCGAGAGGAAATAGAACGGGAGTGTTGGTACAGACACAGGCCTGTCTGCAGATGGACTTAGTGGGAGCGAGTTGGCCGGTCAGTATGAGGAGAGCAGGAACAGCCAATGGGAGGAGGGCGGCACAAGAGGAGACGGGGAGCACGTCCAAACCTGCAGCCTAATCCACCTCCGTGTTCTCAGGGCACGAATCAGACGGCCATTACAACTGTGACAATCTGTTTCACTTACTCCACCGAGAGCCACACGGCGGATAAAGAGTTTAATGCCGTTCATTTCACTCCTGTTCAAGATAGTGACAAGCAAACGTTCAGTAAATGCATGTAATGTGAACAGAAGCGATCTGAATTCGTTGTTAATGAAGTGGCGTCACTCTTTTTTGGACAGTGTCAGCTATTCTGTCCCTCGTGTTGTACTCCAGTCATTTTCTTTCTTTTTTTCCCCAAAAAAATTCAAGTTATTCTTATCACATTGAACTAAGACCTACTGACTTTACTCACACAGGATATAACAATTCCAAAAAAAAAAAAAAAAGTTGATTATTCTTGTACTTTTCTGATATTTTTCCTCTTGTTGCACTTGTGGTGTTCCCAGTCAAATATTACAAGCCAACAAAAATTGCTTATAAATGTCTAATTATGCTATATTATTACCAAATATCGTATTCAATCTGTTCGACAACTTTTTTTTTTTTTTCAGTTGGCACAGGTTTTGTATTTGTTTTTGGACCTGATTGATTGTAGGCCTCATTGATCTGAGCTTATGCTGCTCAGTTTCCGAGAGAAAATTGCCAAAATGATCCACAAATAATGTTTTTTTTTTATCACTTAGATCAATCAGGCCTATGATCAATCAGTTACAAAACAAAACCTGTGCAAATTGAAAGAAAACAAGATTGAATCCAAGATTTGGTG